CAACCAATAGGCATGCAGTCTTTCCTCTATTACTTCTTGCTGATTGGCTGTTGGGATTTAACTTGATTAACACCTGCACAGAAGCATTTCCATACTGACAGTATGTCTGTTATTCAAGTGTTTGGTAGGTATTTCAAGTCTTTCCTGCTCCAGCAGTGGAATGGCCGGGCATGGTACGTTTTTTTTTTATTTTGAAAATCAACAGTTTGCATTATGCAATTAAAAATCCTAACCAATAAAGTAGGGAATAGCTATCCAACTGTTGTTTTAGTTGTATTTTACTTCATATTATAGTTATATCAATGTAAATCATTGTTTTCCCTTGTGTTTCCCATTCTTTCCCTGCCATGTCGTAAAATGTGGTGAACCCATCGCTGTATTTGCTCCAAAGCAAATATTGGCCTTTCTAGTTTTATCATATAATACATGCGATGCAACCATTAAAGTTAGAGGCTGTACTTACCTCCTCATTTTCCCGTTTGATCCAGCCGTGCTCTTGGTGTGGTAAAACCGGAGGTCTGTAGTGGCAGTCCTGTGGAGACATAAATCGATGATAAAGAAAATTGAAATAAGAGCCCTGATTAAAGAAACTTTTGGGCTTCGGGACCGGTTTACGTTATCAAGAATAGCACAAATTATTTTTATTCTTTACCCGTTACATATGAGAAACCGGAGTTTGTATTGCATATTATTATATAGCCAGATAGCGTTGACCAATTAAAGATCCCCATTTGCGATTGGTTATGACACCATAACAACCAGAGGTCATTAAATCTCTTCGCTACGCTCACTTGGTGGTTTATTCGGTAGTTATCACACCTGACCAGGGATCACACCATATACACCTCGGGGCGGGGCATTAACCCTTTATTGAACCTGGGAACGTACCATACATGGTGTTCTCGTTCCCATCAGACCGCCGCCATTGTCGACGCCATAGCTGGTGACGTAACCACGCTTCCCGGCGTACTCCCAGATCCACTCATTCACCGTCTTGGCAAACCTAATTACGATAAACGATTTGATTGGCACATTGTTTGAACGACAAACTCGACATTGCACTTCTGTATGCTTGAAATAAGTCTGAAATAAAAGACCCTTTCTTTGCATTTACATTTTTGTATCATGATGGTGCATCTTAAAGGCATCCAGTGCAATTTCAGGGTAACAAAACTGGAACTAGAAAGGCCAATATTTGCTTTGGAGCAAATACAGCGATGGGTTCACCACATTTTACGACATGGCAGGGAAAGAATGAGGAACACAAGGGAAAACAATGATTTACATTGATATAACTATAATATGAAGTAAAATACAACTAAAACAACAGTTGGATAGCTATTCCCTACTTTATTGGTTAGGATTTTTAATTGCATAATGCAAACTGTTGATTTTCAAAATAAAAAAAAAACGTCCATGCCCGGCATTCCAATGCTGGAGCAGGAAAGCTTGAAATACCTACCAAAACACTTGAATACAGACATACTGTCAGTATGGAAATGCTTCTGTGCAGGTGTTAATCAAGTTAAATCCCAACAGCCAATCAGCAAGAAGTATAGAGGAAAGCTGCATGCCTATTGGTTGATGCCCTGCATTCCATTGTGATGACTCATGTCCAAACGTGGTAAACAAGGCACACTAAGACAGTAATACATTTGCTATAACACAGCCAAAAAACTCAAATAAAACCATTCTAAAAGCCTGTATCACAATAATTTAAAAAACGCCTAGGGGTATTTGCCCACTGTACCTCCATACCAAGTTTCAGGACCTTGGGCCCTAAAATGAAGAAGCTGAATCCATTTAAAAAATGGCAGGAGAAGAAGAAGAAGAAGAAGGAGAAGGAGAAGAAACATCAGAAAAAGCAATATGGTTTCACCACACCACTTCGTGGTGTGGTGAACCCATAATTATAACAATGTCCATACTAGGTGTGATGAGGGGGAAAGAGGCTCCCGTGTCCAGGTCTATCTCCATGATGTCACTCTGGCTGTGTCTCGCCTCGCCGCTCTTCTCCGGCCCGCCCTCGCTGCCCTGGGAAGGAGCCTCGGCCCCCTGGTTCTCGTGCCCGAGGTGCGGCCCGTTCCCGTTGGTGTCCATGGGTGGCTCGGCGCCGGCCTCCTCGATCTGCAGGTCGCTGGGGGATATCCGGCCCGCGGCGGGTCCCGGCGGCTGTGGCTGGTGTCGTCTTCGAGGCCACCTGCTGGTCACTGTTAGCACCGGGGCTGGACAGAAAGGGAGACTAGCATAAGCATTCATAGACAATTCAGCGAAGTTCT